CCAACTTGTTCCGTACAAAGTGGGACGTCTTGTTATATGATGCCTCCCCTGGAAAGAATGAAGGGCAAGCAAGGGCCTTGAGATGCCCCTGGTGGTTTCAGGGACCAGTCTGGGGTGAAGCCACGCACGGTTGCCCCACCACAGGATGCTGCTCTGCGGACACTCCCCCCGCCCCCCGCTCTGGGCGGTGGGCCCCCAAAGGGCCTCACCCCCCAGATGCTTGGAGATGTCATTCTTCCTAAATTAAGCCCTTCAGGCTACAGTGTAATTAAGCTCGTCTCCTCCTCTGCAGTCGGAATTCAGATACGTCTTTGCCTTCAGCTTGTAAAGCAGAAAGAACGGTGGACTATGGAGGCTGGGACGCTGCTCCTGAATTGTGTCACGTGCGTGCGCATTTGACCTTCAGCTTCCATCTGAACTTCCCGTGGCTCCGATCCCTTCCCCGTGGCCAGGACTGGGCTGCATCACCTGCTGTCCAGCTTGGACACGCGGCGGTCCGTCTGTTGCTTTACATCCTAGGGGACACGTCCGCCATCTCCCCTAATCTAGCAGGTTGTTCATCAGATAGATGCTTACTGTTTGCCACGGCGCCCTGAGCAGGTGCCTGTCCTCCAACCCCACCCCGTCACGGCCAAGTGCAGTCCTGGCCCTGTCCCCACAGGTGGGAGGAGGACAGTCCTGCTGCCCAGAAGCTTCCGCGCAGTCATGGGAGCGTATGTGGAGGACCCACCGCTTGTGCTACGGAAAATCACTACGTGGGCTCGCGTGTGCACTAAAACACACATATCCACACACACACGTCCACGTGAATCTTGGGGGAGAGGAATAGAACACGGTGGACCAGGGTCAAAGGCCTCTGCCGCCCCAGGCCTCCTTCCCGCACACAGCCGAGCACACGTCACACACTTCTCATTTTACAGGTGGGTGTGAGTGAGGTGACAGCCCCGTGTAATGAGTGAGTCAGCAGGGTGGGAAGGGTCATTCTCAGTGGGTAGGTCGGGCTCAGGGAACGCAGGACTTAGCAGAAGAAAGAGGTAAAGGTCATCATAGTGAAACTTCTTCTCTGAGCTGGGTGTGTCAGGCAGAAACCACACGGAGCTATTTGTGTGTTTGAATAAAACACATTCTTCCTGCCTTTATTTGTGCAGGATCTGAGTTACGTGTTTTCGGTTAGGTTTGGTTTTCAGTTACTTCTTTCAATGGTTTCATGTCCTTCGAGTTGTGATTAACAGGCAAAGTCACTTCAGGCGGGTTTCAGAGATTTACTGTTGGGTTTCAGTAGGTAGGTAAGCTGTCGTCTTGAGTGTCCGTAAAGTGTGTTGGTATTTAGACACCTGGCTCCTTCCTCCAACATGGTCCGTAGAAACATACTAGATCTTAGGAGTCGAGACGCAGGCAGTAAGAAAGACACAAAAAGGCTTTGAGGCTTTTTTACAGACAGGTGCTTCGAAATACAGTGGTGCTGGTGCCTTGTAGTTATGTCTCTGAGAAGAAACGGAAATGCATACAAGTCTGAGTGCTGGTATCACAAGGGATCGAGCCCCACACATGGCCGGCAGTGTGGACCCAGCACCGCCACTTGCTGTCCGTCAACCTGTCCTTAGCCTGGCTGCTCTCAGTTTTTTGTGGGGTTTTGTTGTTGTTGTTTAAATATTTTTAGTTTTATTTATTATGAGCAGGGGAGGGCCAGAGAGAGAGACAGAGAGAATCCGAAACACACTCTGTACTATCTGCACAGAGGCCAACCTGGAGCTCGAACTCTAGAACCGTGAGATCATGACCTGAGCCAAAACCAAGAGTCGGAGGGTTAACCCCCAGCCGCCCTGATTGACGCATGAGCGCGGAGCTGCCTCGTGGCCCCGCACGGTCCCGCACCGTTGGCCAACCTTTGCTGCCGGAGTGTCGTCCCAGACGGCCTCCAGTGCGCTGGCCTGCAGGTCGTGAGAAGCCCCAAGTTCCCTTCCCTTAGGCGCCCTGTTCGTGGGTGCAGTCTCGTCACCGGCTGGGTGCTGACCAGCCCCCCCATCCCCCGAAGCCTGTTGTGGAGGCTCCTAAGGGAAGTGGCACCAGGAAGAAAGGAAGGCATTTCGGTGCCAGTGACGGATCACGTGCGGTTGGTGCTGTGTCCCTCGCGGCAGCCACGCAAAGCCGCAGCTGTGTGTCCATCCGGACGGCTCTCCATCTGCACCTTCTGAACCACCAGCGTGGCAAGTGCCTTGGCCAAAGACTGCCACACAGCAGCCCATGTCCCCGGGTGTCACCGTGCGGGGACACCTTCCACACGGCCCTGAATGGCGCGCTCTGTTCCGTGGCCTCCCTGCCTCCGCGGATAGGACCGCGCTCCCCGGATGTGGCCCTGTTATCCGTGCTCCCGCGGCTCCCTCAGGCGCCCGTGGGCATCCTGCACGACGCACGTCAGATCTCCCTGCCGTGTCTGCATCAGCAATTCTGCGTTAGTGTGGCGCCTTAGGAAGCAAAGCAGAGCCACCACCACTGCAGGCACACCTGAGGACCCCGCCGGGCAAGGCCGAGGAGCAGTGCGGTCCGGAACTTTCCATGCACCTGCACCGAGGGCACCGTGACGCCTCTCCTCGTCTCTCTTGCTGCTCCTCGCACCTCCTGGGATGTCCACAGCGGTGTTTGCAGGGAGCTGTCGGGTGCGGGTGCTCCAGGCAGCGTGCTCCATGGAAGACAGATGGGCCAATGCTCCTCTTCCAGCCGACATTTCACAGCTGGACTGCACAAAGCGTCCAGACCCTCAGACGACACAGGGCGTAACTCTACAGCATGAGGCCCCCGGACGTCTCGGTGCCCATCCACGGTCCCACGAGGGCAGTCGAGGACGTTTAGCATGCAGGGAGGTCCTAGCTAAAAAGGCAGGGACGGGAATGTCACCAGAAGGAAGTCTCTGAGGCGGAGCGCTAACAAGACAACACTGCTCGTTCTCAGTAGACCCAGTCCCCCGTCTGACGCAGACCCTGACTCACAGCAGAAGCAGGGAGCTTCACGGAAAGCCGGGGGCCTTTGTGTGTTCTCAGAAGGAAGGCACAGGAGCTAAGTGTTCTGTTTGTCCAAATCTGTCTGGGTTTTAGTGCTCAAAGCCCCATGTCCGGGGTAAAGCACTTTAGTCCCTGCGGGTAGCCAGGGCCGATGCTGAGGGGTTATGCTGATCCGCGGGAGCTCATGCAGGCCTGGCCTCCGCCCCGGGGGAGGGGGCCAAGGAGTTCTCTTAGCCCAGGTGCAAGGGAAGGAGGGGCACGGAGAAGTGTACTTGCTCCGGAACAGTCCAGCAGGAAAGCCCGTAGGCGTGTGAGCGTGTGCGTGAATCAGTGTGCACGTGTGTCTGCGAGTGAGCATGTGCATCTGAGTGAGGGCCTCTGTGTGCAAGTATCTGTGTTGGCGCAACCCTAAGTGTGCATGTGTCTGTGCGTATGCATATCTGAGTGTGTGAATGTATGAGTGGGTGTGGTGTGCATCTGAGTGCAGGTTTCTGTGTGTGATCAACTGAGTGCCGTGTCTGTGAGTGTGCGTTTGTGCAAGTGTGCTTGAATGTGTGCACGCGTGTCTGTGAATGCCTGTGTGACTGGACATGAGTGCAACTGTGTCTGAGTGTCACTTTCTCTGTGTGTGTGCACATGTGTCCCTGAGGGAGTGTGTGTGTGTTCTCCACTGAGTACAGGCGTGAGAGGATGTTGGACTTGTAGTGTGACACAGCCCTGACACCGGAGCCCGGGAGCCTGTCCGGGTCACCAGCACAACGAGCTAGCCCCACCCACTGAGGACGATGTTCTCGTGATGGAGGCAGGAAGAAGGGCCGGGTAGGCACACACATATGGCCCTGGCAGCTATGGGTCAGCAGAGGACTCTGGGAACAAAGACAGCTTGTTGTGGCTGTGACATGGCCTGTCTGCACAAGTCTGGCCCCTGCAGAATGGAGTCTTACAAAGAAAGAAATCATGAAGCATTTCCAGGTCCCCAGGGAACTCTGAAGATGCGCATCTTCCCTGGGTAGAGAGTGACGTAGGATGACTGGCTGATTGGCCGATGCCTGCACGTGGCGTCTCTCGTTTTGAGCGACCCCTGATGCTGGACGTCCCGTGGTGGGGCTCACATGACAGGCTGTCCAAGAGCTGCCTGCTAACCACTGTGCACGGACACCCGGTTTTAAATGTGGGCACCTGGGGGGCTCAGTCGGTCAAACATCTGATTTTGGCTCAGGTGATGATCTCCTGTGGTCTGTGAGTTCCAGCCCCGCATTGGGCTCTGTGCTCACAGCTCAGAGCCTGGAGCTACTTTGGATTCTGTGTCTCCCCCTCTCTCTGCCCCTCCCCTGCTCACGCTCTGTCTCTCTCTCAAAAATAAATGAACATTTAAGAAAATGTGGGTGTCTGAAGGGGTGGCCGTCATGCTGATAATGAGATGGGTTTGCACGGTGGCCTGAAGGAGACAGCACACACGATGATCCGTTGTCTGGGTGCTCAGGGAGTTGTGTTGCGCGCCTTGGCGCAAGGCGCGGCCCAGCCTTTCACGCCAGCACCTTAGCCGTTCAGCTCCCAAAGTGCAGCGTCTGACCCACCATCGCCCTTGAAAGTCGCTTCATGCTTAAAGAGCGTGTTTTGTCTGCCCCCATGATTCACTCTCCCGCTCTGAATGTTCAGTTACTGAATGAACAGATCCGTGTGATTCCAATAAAACAGTTTTAAGCACGGCCTCCCTTCTTCCCGCCCTGCTGCACCACGTGTCGATAGCGCCTCGGCGGCGGTGATGGAAACCTGCCCCCTCCAAAGTGGCGGCTGTGCGAAGCCCCCGGGAGCACGCCTACAAACAGGCGTGTGGCCTCACTGCGGTTCACAGACCGGAAAGCCTCACTTCATTTCCTCCGTCTGCACGGTGGCAGAGCCAACGGTCATGTCAGTGGTGAATTCCTTGAAAACTCAGTCTAGATGCCTGCTTAGGAGAAAAAGGCTGTCTCAACCCTCTCTTTCTTCCCCACCCTGCAGTGCCTCGTCTTTGAAGACGCTCCCAACGGCGTGGAGGCGGCCCTCGCAGCCGGCATGCAGGTGGTCATGGTCCCAGACCGAAACCTGCAGCGCCACTTGACGTCCAGGGCCACGCTGGTGCTGGACTCCCTGCAGGACTTCCAGCCCGAGCTGTTCGGCTTGCCGCGCTACGACTGAGCGGCCGCCTGGACACGGCACCCACTGGGGGACCCATGGGCCCCCAGGAACCACCGCGCGAGCCAGCAGTCTCCCAGCCCATTCCGTGCGGCTTCCCAACCTCCTCCAGCTGGTGCTGGCAAACCACGCGTCACCGCTGGGACACAGCAAGGCAGAGACGCCCGGAACAGAGAGCGCAGCACTCACGTGCACAATCGTAGACTTTGCGAATGGCCACACGGTGTCCTGGTATTTGAGGAATCATGTTCACAGTCACACACGGCAAATACACATACGTACACATGCTTGCATGCGAGTCCTGGGGCATGGCCAGGTAAACTTGCGTGTGTACGAGTACCTGTGTGTTTACAGGTATATGTAGCAATACGTACGCACAGGTGTTTGCAAATACTTCCTTTTCCACCACAAAATGAAATTATCTTTGTGTTCATTTCTCTCTTCATTTTCAGTTTCTGTCTTTTTATTTTAGAGAGAGGAAGAGAGAGAGAATCTTAAGCAGGCTCCACACTCAGCACAGAGCCCGATGCAGGGCTCAATCCCACAACCCTGGCAACACCCCCTGAGCTGAAATCAGGGGTTAGACCTTCAGTTGAATGAGCCACCCACACACCCCTCTTTTTTTACTTTCTCTAAACCCCAGCTGGAAAACGTAAAATATGTGTACGTGTATGTATATTCTTACATATATACATACATATACGTGTATGTGTGTATGTGTGTATGTGCATATATATTTATATACTTTCTATGCTACTTTGCTCTTTTAAGTGTTGGTCACAGTGTGCCAAAGCAACTGATGAAAGTGAGATGGGAAGTGTGGTTGGTTTGCAGTCTGAGTGTAAAAGCCACATCACGGACGAGCCCTGAGAAATCGTCCTCATTATCAGCAGAAGTGACACTCTCTCTGTGCCCTCAAAACCTCTCCATGCAGCTCTACTCGGACATGGCATCTGAACCATGACACGTGGAGTTTGTTTTCAGTGTGAGCGCACCCGCAGCAGCATCTTACTACATCTACGTGCGTGTCCGCAGTAGAGGGTGTCTTTTCTACCTCAAAAAAAATCATCTCCTGCCTCTAAAAACATGTATTCTTTCTAGCACAGTCTTTGATGCACTCATAATTTGAATCCAGAATGCATGCTTAGCAATTTTTTGGAATAATTATACTTCAGCATTGAACTCCTTTTAATAGATGTACTTGACGCTTTGTGGTGGGAAAGTGGAGAAGGGCACCGGAACGTGCTAGAAAAATGCAATCCCAGTGTGCCCCTGGGCTGCTGACGTGTCACCAGTTGTCATCGAGCTAACTTCCCAATAGAAGCGGTAGAAAGATGACAGTGATGGATGTCGAGGTGCGGAGGGTCCATCATCTGTCCGTGCTTGCCTGCGATCCATCTCAGCACTCCCGATCGCCTCGATCGCCTCTGTACGGGTCAGCTCTCTGAATCCTCCCTCAAACTGCTCGTAACATCTTACTGGATCCCGGCCCGGTTAATCGAGTTGAATAAAATCTTTTGACACTGATTCAACATTAGGTGCGTATGGGAGTTTCATTTCAACCCTTTTGAAAAGAATTATCATCTAACAAGTGTAAAACTTAAGTGTGACTCTTTAACCTTTTTTACTTTTTTTAAAGCCAAACAGTACTCACACTGTAAAATGGCATTTATATATCATAAGGACACATCAGTGCCTTTGTTTGCAGCAAACAAAGGTTCTCTGTGAAATGGTCACTTGTTGAGTGTTGCATCTCCTTCCAGAGTATTTGTGTTTTCTAATCCTTGAGCCATTTTGCATGAATAACACAGAGCTTCCACGCCCCTCTCACTGATGTATCTCTAGATCCATGTGCACTTTGCTCTGGGGTAAATTTGATCTCAAATACTCCGTTGTTACTTTTGTTCTTCTAACCAAGATGGCGGTGACATTCTTACCAAGAAAACTACAGGTGGTAGTTTCCATCTTGTTGTCCTATATCAGTCTGACGGCTTCAGTGCTTCTTAGTGACGGCATCGCACTTACCAACCATCCATCTCACAGAGGACTAATTGAAGACAATTGAGACCACAGTGACTCTTGCTGACAAAGTCATTGGAGTTATTGTGCTTTCTTAGCGCACTAAAAGTATGCTCTCTTAGGGACGCCCAGGGATCAGTGGACCTTATGCGGTGTTGCTCTCACAGTCAGCTAGCGCTGGCCCATCCACTGTACCTCTTTTGGAAGCAGTTGGTAGTGATGACAGTCCCTGAGAGATGACGCTCTCCATCTCTTCTTAATTTTCCATCAGTGAAGCATATGCAACACTTTGAAGGTCTTCCTAACCACTGCGTCTTAGAGTTCTTCTACCCAGTAAGCACTTGGCTTCAGTGACCTGTAGAAAAGAGAGGAGATCTGACAGAGACCTGCTTTACCCTGGAGAGAACTGTCTTATAAAGACCCACGGATCGTTTCTGCTCTGCAACAGTGGTCAGTGCTTGGCCACTTACCTTCCTGTTTCTTTGAGTATAATACTTTGACGCTAAATTTGCCATTCTTTGGATGGTGTTACCAATTTTTAAGAACAAATTTGCACATGGTAACGAGTTTTATGATAAAAAAAAACGGGTCTTCACTTCTCTACTTAATATTATGTACATTCCCTTCTTCCACACGATGAAGTCCAGAGCCTCTTTGGCCTTATAGGAAGGCGTTCTGACCTAAGTTTATCCCCAGCAGTCTTTACAATTATTATTACTATTAATAATACTAATTTTTATTATTATATTATTATTACCATAGTCTGTAAAGGGAAGATGAAGTGCGCTTTGACAAAGGATGTCAAATCAGAGTTCACTCCAGATCTCAACTCCACTAAAAAGTTGTTACTGCCACCACAGATTCCTTGCCATGAAATGAAGGTAATGTACACTCTAGGGCATTGGCCTGAAGAACTGACTGACGACACATGCAGGATGGGAATACCAAATGCTGAATGAATGATTTAGCGAAAGGCAGTTCACCATCACTATTTCGTTTCAGAGCAGGTGGTGGTATTCCCTGCATTAAAGGGATTTGGTTTACAAAGGATATTTGGTGACTGAAGATCAGATCTTCAGGACGCCTCAAAATATTCTGATTCCTTGAGTCTCTTTAATAGTATCTTGTGCACACTGCACTTGTATCTCCTTCCTTAGCCACAGGATGTGATTACTGGCTGTAACTTTTCATCAGAAACAGTCATCCGGATTGAGTTAATTCAAGAAATATTTTTTACAAGCTACATAGCAGGCATTGCACGACGCACACAACTGAGAGACCACATCTGAGGGCGTTTATCAAGTCTGCACAATCGGGGAGGTAGAAATGTGTGACTTGCACCCACATCATGGTGTCGCCTCATCTGATTTGATTGCCCCTCGAATCAACTAAGTTTTTCTGTGCTTCTTCTGACCCAAGTGGTTTTTGAAGAACTAAGTAGTCACCTGTGTCTTCCTGGTTCTCCACAGAATGGCGGGTGCCTGACACAGGGTGGTGTTGTGACTGTGAAACTGTCCCATTAGTATTAGGGCATTGTATCCAAGCATTGCTTTTTGTTGATTGAAACCCACAGTTACCAAAATCTACATGTGTTTCTCCAACATCACAGGCGAAATGAGTATTTTACATGAAAGTATTTGCCATAGTCTTACTAATGTATTTCTCTGGGACATGCTAATTATTTTTATTTTTATTTTTATTTTGTTTTACAAATAGTTTATTGTCAAGTTGTTTTCCATATAACACCCAGTGCTCATCCCCACAAGTGCCCTCCTCCATGGGGCATGCTAATTATAATGAACTATTTAAATAGCCTAAAGTTCTCTAGTCTCTTAACAAGGACGAGACATTGGGAGACATGCCATCAAATATATGTACTTATGAAAAACCTGGTCAAAGAGATGGAGAATTCATATATAACACAAAGCCACTTAAAATGGCATATTTTAAGCCATTTTCTATGGCTCTTTCTGATGTTACTCTAGGAAAGAGTGAGTATGCATTTGATGCTCAAAGTCTGAATAAATTACGGATACATATTTAAGAGTTGTTTTCCTAGAAGTTAGGTGGGTACTAGGTGGTAAGACAGACATTTCGTGTAAAACTCAGCAAGAAAAGCGAAACTAACGTATCAGTAAACTTTTCATCATTGTGCCAGAAATCTCAGTCAACAAATAATCCCATCAAGTGTTTATATAGATGGACTTGATGCTGATAAACTATCTCAGTTATTTGTCTAAACATGCCCATCTCGCCGCTTTTTAAGGCTGTCTTCACTGGATATTGAATTGTGGTTTGAAATTAATTACCTCTTACCCTCTAAGGTACAGTTTCTTGTTATATGGCTTCCATCATTTTGATTAAATTACCAGTCATTGGTCCTATGTGTGAAAGTAATCGGTCTCTCTTCTCCAGCTGCTGCTAAGAGTTTGTTCCTGGTCTTTGGTCATCTGAGGAATGGTTTGCGTGGATCCCGTGTGAGTTGTGTAGATCTCCCTGAGTCTGTGGCGTGCTTTATGTCTCACCAGGCCTCTCGGTCATCATCTCTTCCGGCATGCCCAGGCTCACCTCTTGGGCTCCCTTCCAGACGCCCAAAGAGAAAGGGTGATCTCTTGACCGCGCATGTAATCATGAATCATGCACAGGCCTGGGCTGTGCCACCACTGAGAGGCTTAGGGACTGGGGAGCTTGAGGGACTGGCAGCACATGTGAGAAGCCAGTGTCAGTGTGTCCTCGGGGGTGACTTGGAGACTGAGAACACACACCTACAAGGGATTAGAATCCTAACTTAGCCATGAGGCCAGGCACAGTGAGAACCAGCCTGGAGGGGCCAACCACCCAGAGTCCAGTAGTAGAAAGCCAGAGAGCCAGGGACCAAGGGATCCATGGAAGGCCCGGCACAGAGCTCGAGCAGAGCCGTGTCCCTGCAGGGGACCTTTCCTTCTCCTCTGCTCTGGGAGTGCATGCTCTGGGTCTGCTCAGACCCACTAGGCTCCTGTAGAAAAGCACTTACCTTGAGAACAAAGTCAAAGACACAGATATTTGCTGAAATACGAAAAACTCAGGGAAAACAGTTTTAATTAGGATAAAGTATTCACATATGCAGATCACTTGAAAATTGCAAAACACTCTAAATTTCTGCATAAAGTAGGCCGTCTAACATTTGTTGAGTGCCATCGTGAGCTAGGCACTTTTTATTTATGAACGTATGTCCTTGCCTTTGCTCTTTCTGTTTCTGTCTGCTCCATGCAGTGCCTGAGAGCACTCCCAGCTTCCCCTCTCTTACCTCCAAGAAAATGCGCAGAAAATGATGTGCAATTAGGTTACATAACTCAGAAGGCCACTCCGTTATGAAGCAGTGGGGCTATGGATTGGGGTTATAAGTTACACTCACTTTACAGTCCAGAAAACGTCGCTGTTCCCTACATAATTACCTGTAACCATAGGGAAAGAAATACATTTTCTTGGTTGAGTGGAAAGGACATT